TTTGGTTGGGTTGGGTTTCAATTTTTTTGTGGGTTGGGTTGGGTTGAATTTCGATCAAACCGATCGTATTGAGTTGGGTTTGGGTTGGGACAAAAACTGACCCGACCCGACCCAACCCACGCCCACCCCTAGGTGCAGTGTTGGTTTGTAGCTGTGCTATTAGTGGGTGGTGGTGTATGGTATGCAATGGCGGTGGTGTGCTGCGATGTGCAGTGTGTTGTGGTGGCGATGTGCGATGTGCAGTGTGTGGTGGTGTGCATTGGGGAGAGTGTGTCCATTTATTTGCATAGTCATGGTGGTGCAGACGATGATTTTAGATCGTGGTGGAGATGGTGGATGTAGTGATGCAGGTTAGGGCGTTTGATAGTGGTAGAAACGGTGTAGTGGTGCAGTCGAAGTATTCGTCAATGGTAAAGATGGTGTAAATGTTGGGTGCAGTCGATTGTGGTTGACGATTGTGGAGTGTAGATGTTGGTTGTGGTGGTCACGGTAATAGATTTGAGGAGATGGTGGGGGTGGGGGTTGGTACACGCGACGGTGGTGGTGGTTGGTACATGCAGTAGTTGTGGTGGTATTTGGGGGTGGTGTTGGCCATCGTCATTCCAGTGGTGCTACTAGAGGCAGTGGTTACAAATTATTTTTTTGATTGTGATCAATGAATTGGTTGGTGTGTAATCAATAAACAATACGTGACCAATAGAATAAATAAATTCTGATCAATAAATAATGTATGACCTAAAAATTTGTTAAGTTGTGATCGATAATTTGATAATGTGTAATCTAAAAATAATTTGTGACCATGAAATATGTTGTGACTCATAAATTTTTTGATTTGTGACAAAAAAATAATAATATGCGATCAATTAATTTATTTAATTTGTGACCGAAAAATAAATTATGACATATAAAATTTGTTTTTTGTGACTGTGGCGTCTGTATATTTAATTATTAAATATTTTTTCGTTAATTATTTAATAAATAAAATTTAAATTAATATTTGATTTTTGAAAAAGTAAATTTTATTTCTTAAATCTGAAATAGGTAAGGTCTTCTTACTAATCAAATTTTCCCATATATTATACGCTTAGCCTTAGCCCATCAAATGTTAACCTGCAACGACATCACCTACCTTTGAGAGTTCGAAACTAAGATTTTAGTATTACCGGAAAGAAAGGAGTGAATGTCGGACTATTTGATAGGGAAAAATTCATAAATAAGGTGTTTACTTTAC